TATGTATTCTTTGCCGCATATGCATGGACTGCTGTAAACTCCTGGCACCTCAAAGAGTTGTCTTTGACGGATCGAAGATGTTGAGAGATTTTTGGACAAGTGGTAAATCTGGTGTTGGCGTTATATTTCGTTAGAATTTTTGATATGTGGTCAGTGATGTTTTGAATGTAAGGGAGGACACTAGTGGCAAGTGTGGTATTGGTGTATTTTGTGATAGAACGCGTAATTTTTTTTCAAATTCGAAACCCTGGATATTATATGACGGGATGCATAATATCATTTTTTGTAGATTTATTTTATTATTAGATTTATTTTAGTCCTCCCTATACGTATTTGCAATGTTTTCTGGTTGTTTCATATGTTTTATTGAAATCTGTCAGAACCCAAAGTTTATTCTCATTAGCATTGATTTTGAGAAAGTTTGACATACTTTTAGTTTAAAACGGGTTAGGAGACTCTAGAACTGACCACTTAGATCGGCTGATTTGAATTCCTTGGATTTTCATCTCTACAGCGTGAGTTTTGAATGATGTTACATTATTTCTAACACAACACTCGTTCACCATTGTTAATTGTTGATAATCGCTTATACCATACACTTAAGCACGAGGATAGCAATTAACTATTTTGCAATTGATTTCTTAAATTAGTAAATCTATATTAATAGATTTGGATGGATAGGTTTCTTCATTTGACCGATATATTTTTGGAGAAAGAGAATGGGGAGTTAAATTGTTTTGGGGTAGATTACGAATTTAAAAAAATCTCAAGTTACAAAAGAAAAATAAAAATTCCCAAAATAACATAGCATTTCCACGAGCAGATAAAGCAATAAACATAATAGACAATAGCACTTAGAAACAAACTAAGCCCGTCATAAAATAAAATAAGAATTAATAGAGTTTAGGCAAAATTGTTTTGAATTTAATTATCAATTTTACATTTCCGAAGAAGGATTAATTATTTTTCCAACAAACTTCCACAGGCTACTGTAATACTTTTTACAAAACTTCTGGATTCCTCCTGAAGAATCTAACAGGACGACTTGGCGACTTGGCGAAGTTCGCCTCAGGAAAAACCGAGGCAGGAGGAATGCAGAAGTTTTGTAAAAAGGATTAATTATGGTCAACCCATTCAGTCTTTTGGATTCCTCGTGCATCAGTTTTTGTCCAGAAGAACTAGCTAACGTTTCGCCAATCAACCTGTTGGATTCGTTAAAGCTTCACTGAAACTGGTTCGCATTTTACTCTGTACCTTCTTTTATATTGATTGAAGGGGGCGGAGCTGAGAGGCATAAACACCGTCTCCAATGACTGATTCCCATATTGGTGAATCAATACGTGAAAATATCATACACCTTTACGGGGAGAAAACCTTTACAGCCACCAAGTGTTATGAAAAACTAAGACAGGAGGGTTATTTCGCTATGCAACTTGAATTTTCTTATAAATTGCCGCAACCAGAACTTGATGCCAACATTTACCAGAAAGACACAAGCTATCCTGGACAAAGCTAGCAAGGCCCTACTCCAAGACCAGATCAGGCGAACCCTGTACGAAATTAGTGAGACTGAGCGACAACTTTTCAGACTCCACCTGAAACTGAGCAACGAGATCCATCAGTTGCTGTGGGACCGCATAGAATTATTAAGATCATGGTGCACTGAGTAAGACAAGAACATCACGTCGAAAAAACTGTAGAAGAAATTAGTCAGTCAAATTCCAAAAAATCAGGACAAGTGCGAAATACAAACCGAAGCAGTACAGTTCATAATATTTCAGCATACGATCTTTCCGATACAGAAGTCAGCGTACTGAATAAAGGATTCAACTATGCAATTGCTCCAAAAAGAGTACCCGTCGAAGAGATCGTTTCCAACGTCGAAGCAAGTCTTTCGTAGACGAACAAGATGCGGAGTTAATTAGGCAAGATGTCGCCAGAGTCTTAAGACAGTCAAAACCACCGCAACCAAACTTAAGCAGAGAAGAAATGAAAGCCTTAAGGAATCGAAACAAAAACGAAAACATTCTAATAATGCCAGCAGACAAAGGAAATGCCACTTTCGTCATGAATACGTCGGATTATAATGCAAAATTGGAGGATATTTTGAACGACCCAATATACAAACTAGTCACCAGAGATCCCACGACATTTTTGGAAAAAGCAACTAAGTCCAAAATTCTCGATTCATCAATAAACGAGGATACAAAGAAGAAACTTATTCCGAGGGAAAAATCGAGTCGTTGTCCAAAATTCTACGGGCTCCCAAAGATCCATAAGGACGGGGTTCCTCTGCGTCCAATCGTAAGCGCCTTTAACTCACCATTACGCTGGAAAAACATCTGGCCATAGTGAAAGAGGCAGATTCCTATGTTAAAAATTCAGAACATTTCACTCAGATTTTAGGTTCTCACAGGATGGTCAAGGACGACATTATGGCAAGTTTCGATGTCAAATCCCTCTACCCGAGCATTCCAGTAGAAGAGGCACTCTTGCTTATTGAAGAAAACGAAGATCTTCCGCCGTACATAATGGATCTGTCAAGACATTGCCTGAAAAATGCTTACTTTATGTATAACGGGAAAATTTACAGACAAGTAGATGGAGCAGCAATGGGATCATCTCTCTCACCTGTGATTGGCAACCTCTTCATGATTTACTTCGAAAAGAAAGCAATAGAGAAGGCAAATCTGAAGCCAAAACTATGGACAAGATACGTTGATGACGTATTTGTTGTATGGCCTTTTGGCAAGGAGGAGCTTTTGAAATTCCTAGATCATCTGAATTCCATTCACCCAAGGATTCAATTTACAATATAACTTGAAGAGGATAACAGTCTGCTCTTTTTAGATGTGCACATCACAAGGACCGAAGATGGACACTTGGAACACACTGTCCATAGAAAACCAACACACACTAATAGATATCTGAACGCTAAATCTCATCACCACCCATCACAGATACAGGCAGTGGCAAATACATTAATTGCTCGGTCCTTCAGGCTCACAAACGAGAGGAACAGAGATGAAGAACTGAAGAAAATTAGTACTTGTCTTCGACAAAACGGATACCAAAGGCGCATCATCAGCAAGGCAATCAGTAAACAACAACAGCCGCAGCAGAGAGTGCAGGACGAGACCCATCGAAGATCGGTCGCTGTCCTGCCATACATCAAGGGGGTTACTGACAAAATCGGCCAAATATTACGGAAACACAACATGCCAACGGCATACAAACCTAATCATACCATCGGAGAAAAACTAAGAAACCCAAAACAAAAAATTACTATGGAAAACCAAGGAGTATACAGTGTAGCATGCGGATCGTGCAGCCTGACGTATGTGGGACACACTAACAGAAGGATTTCAGCCAGGCTCGAGGAACATCGTTTAACCATAAGAAACAAACAAACAAAATCTGCTTTGTTTCAGCACCAACACCAGACAAGCCATACAATTGATTTCGATACTTGCAAACAAATATTCCTGATTTTAGGACTAGGATTATACGACAGGCCGTCGAGCTAGAAAAGTCCGGACACCTGAATACGAGAGACGACGCTCTGCATTTTTTATCCAATACGTGGATAACCCTGTAAATGGTTTTAATAAGAAAGCTAGATATTTTGCTAGAGAATAAACTCAACAACAGTTGCCGAACACAATCACGAAACCGGATATACAATTTTATTCGATTAAACTAAAATTCTTTTATGTAATCAAATGCAATCAAAATCCGAGAGTCTATAGAAATATATAAGCAACCTAACAAACTTAACCGCGGCCCAGGCCTTTAACTGCCACCAATATGGGAATCAGTCATTGGAGACGGTGTTTATGCCTCTCAGCTCCGCCCCCTTCAGTCAATATAAAAGAAGGTACAGAGTAAGTCGCCAATTATCCTGTTGGCTTCTTCAGGAGGAATCCAGCAGTTTTGTAAAAAGTATTACAGTAGCCTGTGGAAGTTTCTTGGAAAAATAATTAATCCTTCTTCGGAAATGTAAAATTGATAATTAAATTCCAAACAATTTTGCCTAAACTCTATTAACTCTTATTTTATGATGGGCTTAGTTTGTTTCTAAATGAGAATATTGTCTATTATGTTTATTGCTTTATCTGCTCATGGAAAAGCTATGTTATTTTGGGAATTTTTATTTTTCTTTTGTAACTTGAGATTTTTTTAAATTCGTAATCTACCCCAAAACAATTTAACTCCCCATTCTCTTTCTCGAAAAATATATCTATCCAAATCTATTAATATAGATTTATTAATTTAAGAAATCAATCGCAAAATAGTTAATTGCTATTCTTGTGCTTAAGTGTATGGTATAAGCGTTTATCAACAACTAACAATGGTGAACGAGTGTTGTGTTAGAAATAATGTAACATCATTCAAAACTAATGCTGTAGAAATCCAAGGACTTCAAATCAGCCGATCTAAGTGGTCAGTTCTAGAGCCTCCTAACCCGCTTAAAACTAAAAGTATGTCAAACTTTCTCAAAATCAATGCTAATCTAATAAACTTTGGGTCCTGACAGATTTTAATAAAACATATGAAACAACCAGAAAACATTGCAAATATGTGTAGGGAGGAGTATAATAAATCTAATAATAAACTAAATCTACGAAAAATGATATTATGCAGCCCGTCATATAATATTCAGAGTTTCGAATCTGAAAAAAAATTAAGTGGTTTAATGGTAATATATAATAAAATGGTAAATGGTTAAAAGATGCAATTAATCAAATTAGATGTTGTATAATACTTATACTCATACCTTGGCAACTATTATCATCTCATGCACACGCTCATAAAGAGAACTTTTGTATTTAAAATTTTTTGATAAAATAAACTGTTATTGAGATATTAAACGATCCCGAAATAGTGAGCTGCTGGTATATTACATATAATTTTGAAAAGCTTTACAGAATGTTTTTTTGGTGCCAGCTTAAACACTTATTTTTAGCATTATGTTTGAAAAAAAAGGAAAGTTGAAATACCTGTCTTTGCTGTAGCCGCATATCCAACTGTTCTTGTAAATTAATAACATCTAATCTGGTGGCTGGCGTTGTAGATACTTGCTGTCTCCAAAGCTGTCCATCTTCTTCCCACTCTTTTGGCGGCAATATCGTGTTTAGTATTTCTTCCGTCACGCGTCTTTCGTCAGCCGTTAAGGGGACCTTCTTGGAAATGTCTTCCGCCTAAACGCATTCGCATTTACTTTTCATTTATAGATTTCAGATGAAAGGACACATTTATAACAAACGTAGCAACTTCTTAATTATAGAACGTTTACGATCCCTGCCTCAGTAGTGTTAAAACAATGAGACTAATAATATTAAATCGGAATTATTGTCAAGTTGTTGTCATTTTTGAACCATTATGTACTACATAATACATTCCTGGTATTTTTCATTCTTTAACTAGACTAGACATTGTTAAATGAAGTAACTTCAGATATCCTGTTAAACTACGACTGCCTGCCTAATGATATTTACAATCCTTCAAGTAAAACAAAGAGAACCCTAGATAAAATCATTAAGTAAAAAAAAATCGATACAATAATGAAATACAGGTGAATGTGTGAATACACATGAAGAAATACATACAGTGAAAAATGGTAAATACAAAAGTTACATACAGGGTAGTTCAAAAACGAGTGACGAATAAAACATGCATTTTTTTAAATGGACCAACACTCTATTTTTATATTTTGTTTTGACGTCATTTTGAAATTCTTCAACTTTTTTTATTAATAATAATACATACCTAAATATTTAATCCAATATTTTAATTTTTTTTTTAAAATACTAGTTTTCACACCTGCAAACAAATTACGATACCACCATTATTTTAGCGTTATTAATTAGATGTTACAGGGTGTTCAAAATAAACGAATATATTTGGATCATTTTAAATTGAAAAATCTCGATTTTCTTATATGGCAAACCACATATTTTCTGAAAGATCTTACAAAAACCTACAACTTTTATTAAGTATTTCATATACCAATTCTTAATATTTTTAATAACATTGTAAAATTTTTGCTTAACAACTGAGTAAATAAATTGTGTCAGTAAATTAAAGAACATTAAGTATGGATTTTCCTAAAGCTGAATGGATTGATATTATTTATATAGTGGGTAAGGAGGGAAAAAATAATTGGCAGTAAAACATAACAAGGCGAAGTACAATAATAGACATATACCAACTAGACAATCCCATCAGTGTTTAATGGAACGGTTTGATGCTGGCGGTAGTACTGAATATGAAAAACGGAGAGTGATAGACCGTAATGCAACCAAAGAGGCAATTTCGAACAACTAGTTAGCTTATAAGATACATGCCAATTTAGCGTTAATTTCACCACTAGAAAACACAAATATCACATCCCTTCCATATTCCATTAATTTAAAAGCTGGTCGTTATTTTAAGCAAAATTGCTAATCACAATATGTTGCAATATCTACGGCTCCAACAAAGTTTTTTCTCCTATTCATTTTTTGTTGGCTAACAGTTTTGTCTTGACTAACTAACATTTTAAAAGGATTATAAAAGCTAAAATAAATAGCAAAGTATTAAAAATAGTTATATTACATACTTAGTAAAAGAAAAAAAATGGTGCGTCATTTAAGAAAGTCGCGATTTTTCAATTGAAAATTAAAATAAATTTTAATCCAAAGCAAAAAGCAATTTTAATGTAAATAATTTTGGCTATTAAAATTTATTCGTATTTTTTTTTTTTAATTTTTATGTACAGCAAAACATTAAGAATTCAGAGAAAACATCTGTTTCAAATGCCCGGAAATGGAAACGATATATTTCCGCAAAAAATGTTTTGTATTTACTAAGGCTTCTAAACAACAGAAATACAATCCTAATTTATGGTAATGATTCCGGATAAAAGTGTGTAATTATACAAATAAGTCAACATATATTTAGAAAAAAGTTAAAAAAAACTCTCTACCGTGCACAAATTGCGATATAAGAAAATATTGAAAAAAAGAAATTCACAATGCGACAAGTGCTCAAAAATGGCTAATCTGTTACGCAACAAAATCTAAAATATCGAAACACAAATGTTAATTTAATTAATTTGAAATCCCTTGTCAACTAACGTTATCGCAACCATTTTTCAGAAACTGCAGTCTGTTAACTTCTTCCCCGAAGGCGTAATTCACAAATATTAAGAAAAAACTCAAAATGTTAGACACACAGGGAACTTACTTCAGACGTTGACGGCTGGTCAATTACTCTGTTCACTACAAGAAATGGATTGCCGTACTTCACCAGGGTGCTTACAGCAGGAATCAATCTCTCCGTCATTTTTCGAGAAAATCGAAGTAATTATCTTTTCAAAGTACAGTATTTCCGTTGACGTAGTCAAATCGGTTATTATTGGTTACCAAGGCAACTCATGCTGATATACGGTATTGACGCAACCTGAACTAATAATACCGATTCCCCTCCGCTAACAATGCACAAATGAATTTTAAGAAGTAATCTACCTCGCAATAACTTTGTGGCCGAGAGGGGCTGCAACAGGGGATGTCAACACACTAACCAAAACTAAAATATTGAGTACCACAATGCTCATTTCTAGATCCGCTGTTGTTTATTGTATATGTGAATGACTTGATATTCAAACTTTGCCTGATATTTCAAAAGCTGCTTCAGATCTAGGCGAAAGATAGTTTGGTGCCAATAATTTTGTTTTAAATAAAGATGAAACCCAAATTTTGAAAATACCGACTAACTCGAGATGAGCGGTAGGTAAAGCACAGTCAGAGCAATTGTTCAGTTACGTCATGACATCTTTATCTAGTTCATTTACGCCTTAAGATCAAAATTTGGTGGAAAAGAGCAAGCCCTTATTTTAAAACTGGTGGACTATTCCACTGAAGCGCTATACACAATATATTTACTTACTTTTTTATGAACGAGCAATTTAAGTTTCTGAAAATTGTTAATTAGATAGGTACTTATTACCTATGTCTACCTATAGCGTGTTGCCGATGCATTAGCTATTTATCTATGATCAATGCATAAGCTTGCTTCTGAAGGCATCAAAACCTATTATGAATTTATGGCACTGCTTCTTTGTGCGCAAAGTCGTAAATCTATATAAATTTTTCGTGGTTTTCGTAACGAAAAAATTCAATAATTTTAATAATTACTTTCCCTCCCTCATAATAATTTACACGAAACCGATAGTGTTGATATTTCATATGGTTCATTATGGACGAGAAAGAGCAATGGACTGTAATTTTTTGTTAAATTGGAGCTAGAAATAACGCGGCGATTCAAAAAATAATATATTGATGTAACGACACGAAAAATGACAATCTCTTTTCTTCTTGGCCTACCTTGCTGTAGCTCTCTCTGACTGTTGACCGGCACAATTTCGCAATACTTGGCGGCACTCGAGATTTTTATTCTGGCACGCGGAAAATGCTCTCACGTTGGTCTCTACCTGAGTCGTACTAGTCCCGATCACAGCGGAGTACGACACCCAAGCGACATACGAGTTTTTTCTGGCCATATACCCAGAGAGATTGTCACCAAAATACGCGGAGAATATAACCGCAGCAATTAATTAATTGAAAACCAATTTCAATTTGCTCGATATAAAAATTCCCCAATTACAAAAATTAAAGAGGAAAAATAAAACACAACAATTCCGATTGAACGGAACATACCGCCCACCTAAAATGGCAACATTTTATTAATAAATCCAAAAAAAAGAAAATAATTAACAAAAACCGTAATAACAATTCCAATACCCACGCGAATTCTAAGCTTAAAATTAAGAATTAATAGATTGGGAAACATTAATAACTAATATATTGGCAAAGGACAAACCTTTAAAATTGAAATATCAGTGGAGGGATCATACCACTTGGATTTTTGATCAAGGGTGTGAAGATACTCACGATGCCACCTTTTCCAAAAATCCTGATGCATGCGCTGTAATAACTGCCAACGCGAGAGTCTTCCCAATTTAACTTCTGTTAAATCTGATTCAATAAATGTGTTAAGAGATTGAAGATTTAGAAAATGACTAGGAGTAAGAACGCTTAGATCGTTAGGGTCGGAACTAACAGGGCACAATGATCTAGAATTTAGAATCGCTTCAAATGCGGTCAGAACTGTGATGAACTCTTGGTAAGTTAAAATATGGGTTCCTACTACCCGACCAATATGGGTTTTCACTGACTTGATGTTACTCTCCCAAATTCCACCAAAAGTTGGCGCCGAAGGAGGGTTAAAGGGCCACCTTATGCCTTCTCGTGTAGAAGCATTACGCATCTTTTGAGCGAGTTATTTGGCGGCTCCAATAAAATTAGTGCCACAATCACTGTAGATGTCCGTATCAGGACCACTCCGAGAAAGAAACCGTCTTAACGCCGCAAGGAATGCATCGGTAGATAATTCAGTAGCGAGTTCTAAATGGAGAGCCTTGGTGGCCAAGCATACGAAAAGACAAATATAAGCCTTATAACTTTTCGAGCTTCGCATTTTGCCCATCGTTACTTGGAATGGACCACCGAAATCAACCCCACATTTGGTGAAGATTTTATTTCATTTACTCGCACTGCAGGTAAATTACCTATTACCGGAGGAGAAGAACAGGGGTTACTTTTAAAACAACGAACGCAAGAAGAGATGACCTTTCGTATCGCTCTTTTAGAGGACGGGATCCAATATCTTTGGCTAAGTAAATATTGGGTAGTTTGTAGCCAAACGTGTAAGTACTTAACATGTGTATGCTCCACAATCAGACGAGTCAGCCTATGATCACTTGGAAGTAAACACTGGTGTTTATTACTATATGATATGGAAGAGTGATGTAAACGTCCGCCCACCCTGAGAATATCATCTTGGTCAAGAAAGGGAGTGAGCTTACGAAAATATTTCGGGAAGGACTTCAAATTATATGAGTCTTTTTTAGAGAGTTTAGTTATTTCCTTGTTATAGTAAAATCTTTGAATTTGCTTCATTAAAATTAAGAGGGCTTGGTCGAGTTCAGATAGAGAAAAACATTCATTTAGCAACAGCGTTGGATTATTAGCCTTAGAGATAAAGCGCTTATGTTAGCGAAAATGCGATTCAATTTTGATAAAGATGAGAACCGATCTATTAGGTTATCCCAGCAACTGTAGCCGAAATAGTAAGAGTCGTCTTTCGTCTTTCTAATGTCACTTCGTTGATCTTTAGAGACTCGTTTGACCAACGGTCACAATGGGAAGTTAGGAATGAAGGCCCCGCGCACCATTTTTCTAAATGGAGTAATTCGCAGCCTACAATGCCGCGGGTAGCACAGTCAGCAGGATTTTCTTGTGTAGACACATTAGACCATTAACTAAGAGATACCTTTTCCTGAATATGGGTAACCCTGTTGCTAACAAATATTGCCCACTTATGGGGTGAAGATTGAATCCACGAAAGCGTAACAGTTGAATCAGACCATTCGAAGACTGAGCTGATGGGTAACATATTTCGATACGACTGCATCACAATTTCGATCAAATCTGCCAAGAGTACAGCCGAGCATAGCTCTAAACCAGGAATTTAAATTTTCTTGGCTGGGGCTATTCTTGATTTGGCACACAAGAAGAAAGTCTTTGCTTGGTTACCTAGCACCGCTCGTACATAAATTACAGAATTTCTTATCATCGAAGGTAACCTTTCGAGGAATAGATAAAGAGGACAAGAGTGGCAGATTCTCCTTGTATAAGGCACAAGCGGACGACACCGACTCTGGAGCAAGTTCGTCCCATTCTATTCCAGAAGACCATAGTTTTTGAATTAGTAATTTGATAAAGACAGTAACGGGAGCTAAGAACAAAATTTTAATAGTTTGATCACTTTCTTTGTTTAGCGAAACCGGAACTTGGGAGAGTGATTTATCTAAATTGGAAATAACCTACCCCATTTCCGGAGTTGAAAACCCCCTAAGGCAAGGAGATCGATCAATTCCTTTTGAAGGCTCAAAGCTGCTTCGACGAAATCAGCACCTGACAATATGTCATCAACATAAACTCGAGGCTCGAGGAAATTGATCTTCGTGGTCCTGAGCTAACTGGATTAGAGTTCTAATGGCATGAAAAGGGGAGGAAGACATTCCGTAAGTGACAGTATTAAGCCTATAATCTTGAATAGGATCGTCTTTGAAGAATCTGAAGACAATCCGCTGATAATCTCTGTGGGTTTCCGACACCAGTATCTGCCTAAATATCTGCTTTATATCGGCCGTAATAACGAGAGAGTGAGTGCGAAATTGGAGGAGTAGAGAGAATATTTCATGTTGAAGTTTGGGTCCAACTAGCAAACAGTCGTTAAGAGATAAGTTATTAGCAGCCGTTGCCGAAGCGTCAAAGACAATGCGAAGTTTGGTAGTTACACGTTCAGGTCTAAGTATAGAGTGGTGAGGTATATAGTATTGATGATTAGTATGTGGCAAAGGTTTAACAAGTTCCATATGACCGGAATACAAATAATCTTCCATGAATAGGTTATATTTTTTGCGGAGTTCTGGATTATGCGAGAGTTGTCGTTCAAGTGAATAAAACCTACGTAAGGCAATGTCTCTTGAATGATCGAATACCAGTAGAGAAGGGAATTTAAACGGGAGATGAAGAATGTATGTAATGTATCGTCCAGTATTATCTCGAGAGTAAGTTTCAATGAAGATTTTTTCTGCAGTCAGATCTTCAAGGGACTGGGCATTTATTTGAGGAATCTGTTCGAGTTGCCAGAATTTATTAACAACCTCTTCGAGTGAAAGTATACAGGTGCAACAAAGGGTATTGTTTGAGAGAGTTGGTGGTGATGTTGGTACTCGACCTGTAATAATCCAAGCCAAATGTGTATTAATAGCCACAGGTTCATTGATAGAGTGAGAAATAGAGCCTTCCCTAAAGAGAAATCCAAATGCATTGCAACCAAGGAGCATGTCAATGGGATTTGAAATATTAAATTTATCATCGGCAAGGTCTAAGTGGGAAAATTTACTAAAGTTAACATCCGGTAAATTAGAGCTGGGTATGTTATCACAAATTTGGGGTATAACTGCGAAATCAAGGGTTATTCGGGGTTCACTGGACATTCGAGGAATAAACGTGCAAGTAACCTCTTGAGAAACGTGCGAGGTGGTATTTCCCAAACCTTTTACAAAAAGTGAGAGAGGCTTTCGAGTAAGTCCAAACCTATTAGAACATTTAGATGTTATAAAGTTCACTTGACTGCCACTATCAAGTACAGCTCGAACAGGTCTGTAGTAACCAAGCGAATCTAAAATTTTGATTTGAGCGGTAGCTAGAAGAACTGAAGAATCTCTACCATCAGGGCTAGAATCAATGTTCGTTAAAGTAACTGACTGTGTTCCTGCATCCCATTTGTTAGAAAGTTATTTGAACTGGTGGAAGGATTATTATCAGGGCTGAGCTGTTTATCATGATGTAATAAAGTATGATGTGGCTTTGAGCAATTTCCAC